AGATGTTATGAACATTTTATAGATGAGAAAAATGAAGACTAAAGCAGTGAGAAACAACAGGAAAAAACAAAATTTATCTGTGACTGCATGACTAGTAAATAAGGGAGATAGGTTTGGATTCTAAGTGCATGCTGCATCTAACAACCCAGGTCTCCAAGCTCCTAAATCAGACCTCAAGTGAATCATAAATCTAAAAAATGTCTTCTTGAAGATGATTTAAAAGATGAAAAACCCAGCTCTGCTCGCAATTTCATTCCTCAGAAGTTCTATCTGTATACCTTATACTAACAATCTTGAATGGGCATGGTTCTCTGTTTGTTTGATTGCTTTTTTTTTTTTTTTTTCGAGACAGAACCTTGCTCTGTCACTCATGCTGAAATGCAGCAGTGCAATTTCGGGTCACTGCAACCTCCACCTCCCAGATTCAAGCAATTCTCCTGCCTCAGCCTCCTGAGTAGCTAGGATTACAGGCACCCACAATTACACCCTGCTAATTTTTGTATTTTAGGAGAGACGAGGTTTCACTATGTTGGCCAGTCTGGTCTCGAACTCCTGATGTCAGGTGATCCTCCCACTTCGGCCTCCCAAAGTACTGGTATTACAGGTGTGAGCCACTGCTCCCGGCTGGCATGGTCTTTTCAAATATAAATTCCCTCTCCTTCTTCCTTTCTCCCTTCCACCTCTTGCCTCTCTTCCTCTCTCTCTCCTTATGGCAGAAATCGGCCAAAGTCACCTATTTATTTGGCTGGGTTCATTACTTCTTTCTTTTTGGCAGAACAAGAGCACTTGGAAATATTTAGAAAAGGGATGCAGTGTTTGACTTCAGGAAAGCACTGCTAATGCTGCACTACATACTTTCAAGCACTCTAGATAATCCAGCTGTGAGAAAATGGCTATCAATCTTCTATAACTCTTAGTTTAAGGAGAAAGTATGCTATTTAAAAATACACCTTACTACCTATGTAAATGATAATAAACAGATAATAAAAATAGTATTTATTGTACATTTAAAATGTGTCAGGCTCTGTACTAAGTATCTTACATAAGGCTCACGATAAACCTTTGGCATAGGTATTATTATACCCATATTACAGCTGGGAAAATTAAAGTTTAAAATAGCTTGCAATGTAATACGGCTATTAAGTAGAAGAGACAGGGATTCAAACTGAGTCTGTCTGACTTTAGAGTTCAGACCATGTGCTTAAGTACTTTATCTGCTTCCACAAACCAACCTCTCAGGAAATAGCACACCTTAGACTGAAAAAGAACTGCATGATCCAGAATAGGCAGTGGAATTGAGCATTTTTATTTTAGATCTTTTTTCCTCACAGAGCACTGGGCCAACAGATACATTTGTTTCTCAAACATTAAGTGCCTACCTCCCTTATAGCCCTTTCATATTGAATAGTGGCTCACCTGCGCTGGTCTGAGCACTGAACAGAGAAAAGGAAATACTTCATGCTCCTTTTCACTCAATGCACTATCTTCTCCATCATTGTCTCT